TTGATGTTCCTGTAGAATGACTGCTGGCACTGAAAGATGCTTTGGACAAAACAGGGCAGCTTATTTTATGTCGTGTATTTGTAAATGTGTGTAATTTGTAAATTATGAAGTACCAGTATATCGCCTGGAGAGGATATACTGTACTTAAATTTTTTTTAAGTTTCTTAATGACCAGTGTGTTTGAGTAGTTTCCACATTAAGGAAGCAACTTAGAGGCAAAAACATTGTGTTGTGTCTTTATAGGGATCAATAAATCACATATGAAGTCATATATTTCAGTGTGAGTGTGAGTGATGCTAAATACATTAGGACTTAACCCTAACATCTGGTGCCTTACTTTCTCCACTCCTACAGTGAATTCAGAATATTACAGTAACAAATTTAAAGCACACTGGGAACTCGATAAATAAACAGGTTCTTACCTTCAGTTATTTTTTGAGGATCCCTGACGTTATACTGAATGTGCACCCAGTGTGACCAGTGCTGGGTACATTGTGATATAATTACCTTAATATTGCATTTAATTATTCTGTGCCTTCTGTTCCTGTTTTTTTTGGATCATTGTTGATAGTTTAACTCTCTAGAGTTTCATTGTAGTTTGTAGATTTTGAATATCACTCAGTCACAGGCTGTGTTAGATTTCTTTGTTCTTACCTGCTGTTTTTTTAGTCTTGCCTAGTCCTCCATGACTCCATGGACACTTTGTATTTACTTTAGCATTTCTTTTCCCCAGGTTCCTTTATGTTTCATGGTCAATATCTTATTATTCTGCCTCAGTGTCTGTTCTAGTGTTTTCTCTTTGCCATTTCCCTCCGTCTCTGACGTGCGCTCTAGTCCAACGTCACGGCACTGTGCCTATTTACTGTGTGTGCGAGTTTGCTTGGGAATCTGTCTTTTGTGGTACTGTAGAAGTGGATCTTTGTTTAAACCCGTGAGGATTCATTACTGTGATTTATCTCCCTCTTTGTTGGTGCCAGCACTAACATACGGTGGCATCTACGCAGATATTTTTAGTTTCAGTGTTTGTGCATGCCTGTGTATGTTTGTAGGTAATTTGTCTCCATATATGCATTTTTTCAGCATTAGTGAATGAGGTTGTTTGGTTGTTTTGTTTGCTTTTCTCACTCTGACAAATAACCACCATTTTGCCATCTACACTTGTAATATGTGACTGTTCATCATAATACACCCAAAATATGCAACATGAACTTCAAAAGACACACACCATCATAGATTGTACTCTTTTCCTTTTTAGCCATTACTACCTCCTCTAGCTAAATCTATCAGTAAAGATGGATTGAGGTCTGACATGTTTACATTTATGTTCCCCAAAATCTGCTTTGAATAGAAAACAGGAGTGCATGAGCTGGGGAGCTGGGAGCGTGTCCTGCACTGAGGACAGTATATCAGTCTTGAAATATTCAAATATAAATATTAGTGAGTCCCTTTTCCTGGATCACAAAATCAGTCTTATATGTAGAGAAGATCAGCAGTTTATATAACAACTTGTACTGAGTCATCAGTGTCACTCAGTGCCATATGTTGGACATATTTTAATCAACATGTCACTTGCTGTAGGCCATTTGTTTTTGTATTTGTGTGTATGCACATATGAGCCTGCTGTGTACTGTGTGTATTTGTGTGTGTGCAAAATGTAGGTGATAATAAAAGCTGAAATTAACAGCTTTAACCTTTCTTGGCAGTTATGGCAGTTTTGATTCAGTATTAGCTTCCTCGGTACTTCTGGCTTTTGTCTCCATGTATGAAAACCAATCTATTTTTGGTGCAGTGTAAATTATATGAACTTTTAGATTTCACTGTGAGAATATTAAATCATATTTGACTTTATGTGGGTTAGCCACAGCAGCACACAGGAATGAACTGCAATGTGCAGCTGTCACATGTAAAATCCAATATAAAATTATATTTTCAGATCTCATTAAATGTATAATTTGCAAATATTGCCTGTGTATGCATCTTTAATAGAAGTTGATGGCATTTATTTGCTTAGCCTTAGTGTTTGAAGCCTGCTGACACAAGTAATCACCCAAACCTTTTTCTTTTTCTGTATGTCTGCTATTAACTGTCTGATCTTAGTCTTGGCTGGCATTTGTTGTCTTCCAGGCTCATGTGGTTCAGCGCTGACTTGTCCATCAGGTCAGTATTGTGGGCCCTGTAAGGCCGGGCAGCGCCTTTGGAATATAACTCCCTAACAGCAGAGTAAATATAACGCTTGTATTCATCCTTGTGTACACCTTGATTATTTCCTCAACACTTTCTTTGTGTTTCTTCATCAAGTGCAGTGGGGTTTTTTAAGGCACTGCAAAAATGTGACCTTTCTAAGTTTTGTAGTTACACAACCAGAGAAAGTTTATAATATTTAGTTTCCCCACTGGCAGATTTCCTTTTCTTTTCTTTCCTTTTGATAATAGTATGATATTTTAACTAAATTAGTTGGGTTGACTTTTTTTGCACTGTGGTGCTATTAGTGTTGCTTCCTTTTGTGTCATGTGGCCACTGTGTTCAGGAAAACTGCTGTGTCGTGTGACCTTGCCAGCACGTGTCTAGTCCCACTCATTTGTGCTTTTGCAGTGCTGTTGTATCTCCTTTCAACTTTCCCTTTTTTGTGTGTTGCAGTTTATAATTATAGAATGTGCTGTTCCCCATAACAGACATGTTCATTTATGCTATTGTACGACTGTAATTCAGACCATTAGCATTTAAATTTTGCTTTTTGTGATTACCTCCTAGTATGTTTACTAAAGCTATATACTGTATGTGTGTGTGTGTGTGTGTTTCCATTTTACTCATGTGAGTGTTTTAGTATCTAATCATGGCATAGATTCAAACTTGTGTCTGACTTTTGTCACAAACTGCAGACTTACCTTTGTTATTTTCTGTTTAAGACCATTTTCCCATTTGGAGGATCACAAAAAAAAGAGGTAATCACTTTTTAGGTTCACACACTGTAAAAGACTGCTCCTGGATGACCAATATCTTCAGAATTTCATCTCCGTGAACTTGGCAATATCATTTAAAAACTGGAAGACAAGCATTACATTTACACAACACTTACTTTCTCAGTCTTGAAAAAATACAGTTTAGCCCTTCAGTTTTAATGCTAATATAAAGTGTAAGGCTCAGCATAAACGGCACTTCAGGACAGTTTTTCTGAGGTCACCACTTTTCAGTTATGGCAGGATAAAATTGAACATCTGAAAACCTGTGCACAGCAGTTTGCTGGCTGAATCTTTGGACAATGTAAAATTCTTATTTACAGCCACCTGAAGCATTTGACTACATGGCAGTGTGACATGCAAGTCCATAATTGGGTTTCCGCATACAGTATTTTAACATCTAACAACCTCATATACACATTAGAGCACTTGTTTTGTCCAAAACACAGGCATAACATCTGAAAAGATGTTACTGATGGACACTGATGGTAAAAATGTGTGTGTAAAATAACATAGACTGTGTGAGCCAGCGTAAGAAGAGAAATGGCAAGAATGAGAGAGGCAGCAGGACAAGGAAAATCATATTTAAATACAGGCAGGTTAGAAGCAGAAAGCATGTGCACAGTACTGAGTGATACATAGAGAAGGGTTTCAGTAATATTATTATTTGGTGTAACTAACCCAGTGATTAGAAATATAATAGAAATTAACTTCCAGGATCAGATGTGCAGCTCTAATTTGTGTGATAATGAAGACTGAAAGGAAGGATGGGACAGTGGTAGTGAGCAAGAAGGGCAACGAATTCCTGTCCGAATCCCCAGACAGTATTAAACCCTTGCATAATATACAGAAACGTACAGTAGCTACACACACACACACACACATTCACACACGCAGCATGTATAGCTCTCATTAGCATAGACCTGTTGCAACACACGCAGATGATAAATGCTCATAGAAAACTGGTTCATGAAGCAGCAGTGGTGAAGTCACAGGGGAGAGGACGAGGGATGGAGGTGGAGTAATGCAGCACATGCCATGAACACACCATAGCATGGAAATAAAACAACAAAAGGAGTTAAATGTGAAATCTGAAACTGGTTAGGTGTTAGTGTTTTTCTACAGCTTTAGGCTGTAGAAACAGGCTATATGCTTCACTTAGGTTGCACAAGTCACAACATAAATACACACAGCTGAACATTCCACAGCTACAACGTCACATCAGCTTCAAATGCTACAATGTGAGGACTGTGAGAGATAAGTGTTTTTATTAGAAGATCAACAAAGATGACACCACCATGTAAGGGCAAATGTAAGCAAACCTTAACAATTAGTACAGAGGAATATTTCTTTTCAGATGTCAGTTTTCAAATTATAGAATATTCATAAGGAACTCTGTATAATGTGACAGAGACACTGAGGAAAAAGCAGCTTTTATCAATTCAGTATAACTTCACAGTTCAAACAGTGACAGGGTAACAGATACTGACACTGAGAGGGTACAGAATACAGTATTTCCTCTTCAGGGCACTGCAAACATCTCATTGTGCAGGTCAGCTGAATTCCACTCTTGGATGATAAATGGTACCAGAGGTGGGTGTACAAACACACACAGAAGCACAAACCATAGGAGCTTTCCTGTGAGATCAGAGAGGCAGACAGAGGAGCTTGTGGTGAAGTGTGCTCAGTTATGAATGCATGCAACCTCACAAAACTGAACTGGAAGCCATCTGCTATTTTTATCCTCTCACAGAGGTCAGGAGAACCGATGAATGTAGTATCACATCTGACATATTGTCTTGCCTTAAAGTGGTTGTTCTCTCTTTATAATGGATGTATATGTGATCTGACTGGGGCCATTAGTGCAACTACATCCTGGTATTGGGGGCTTGTGGAGAATATTGGAGGAACAGTTCATGATGAGCAATTTGAGTGTGCAGTATATGTAAGAATATGCTTTCTGTATTGTATCTACCTACTGTAAATGCTCTCCTCTTCTCAGCTCTTCCTCTTTTCAACAGTCCTCCTCTTCTTTCACTGCAGGACACAGCCACCAGCTTTCTACGAGCAGCTCGTTCAGGGAACCTGGACAAGGCTCTGGATCACATCAAGAATGGAATCGACATCAACATAGCTAATCAAGTAAGATAGACAGTGATTGTTTCTTTGTGCATGTGTTTGTGTTAGTGGAAATTAAAAAAAGATGTCACCCACAGATTTTAATTAGCAAAACAGCAAATGAAATTGTGACTTACAATATGTCAGAATCAATTATAACACTTAGTTTGTATTGGCAGTACTAAGAAATAGCAGCACCTGCGCTAAGAACCACACTAAATCCAAAATTACATTTTTGTTTTCCTGAATTTCTTTATTTTTATTTTTCCTATTCGGATCTCTGTGGGCCAGTGGCTGGATGCAACAGGTTTGTGCACATTGTCTGGAGGAGTTGGAATCCATTTTGAACAAAGTGAAAACTTACTATTTGAAATAGAAATTTAGTATATGGTGAAAAATGAAAGAGTATTACTGAACTTGTGCGCTTCATAAGAGCACACTAGGGCAATAAGAACTATGTGCTTGAGTTGTTAATGCAGAAATTTCCACTTCACCTACAGAAGTGTGGAAATTCATTAAACTTCATCTTATGCTCTTTTCCTTGAAACCACCTTCCAGTTCATTTATTCAGTGGGGGAGGGTGTGAGTTGAGGTCCAGGGGTGCAGAGCATTGAAAGAAGTATAAAGTTTTGCACCTTTGGGCTACCATTAGTTCTGAACCCAAACACCATGAGGCACCACTGTTTTTGGGATAACATGCACAGAGAGACTACAGGTATGTGTTGTTAGACCAGTGTGACACACCTTGTATTGAGACCATAATTAGCTAAATCTAAATCATGTTTAAAATGTCAAATAATCCTGATAACAATTTAAAAAATCTAACCATCATCATTGTTATCAACACATCCACTGATAGAGGTAGAATATGTACTGTGAATATATTTGGAGTGAGCCAAATAATGATGCTATTTCTGATTCTACTTATTATAAAACGTCTTTTGCAAAGTGTCCATACAGTATATCTTTACTACCACCTTACTACCACCCTCTGCAATTGATTGATTTTGTTATACATTCTTTGACTGGCTATTTCAACCTGCCAAGGGAACTGAAGCACTGAATGAATAATATAAAAAAATACTTTTGATTCTTGCGAAAGTGTCTTCGCAAGTATGAACCTGTTTCTCACCACACTGTGGGAAAGTGGAAGGTGTTCCCTTGGTAAGAGGGTCATGATTGTGAAACAGATTGAATGGAAAATGGTACTTACAGTATGAACTCTGTTTTATTCCACTGAGAAAGTGCAAACTGTACAAAGGTTGCCCTTAGTCTTGAATACACCACATACAGTAATGCCATGGTTTTCTCATTGGAATGTCAGGCTGCAGTATCAGCAAGTGATGTAAAATAGAAGACCAAAAAGAAAATTAAAAATTTACCAGACTCCTAGACCTCCTGATTTTCTATCTTTGTGTAAAGTGGTGCACATCAATAATTAAGTATATTTGATTAAAGTTCGCTCAATCTTCAGCCCTACTGTCTGCTCGTTTACATCTTGTTGCGCCATGGGTGTGAGACATGAAGTGAGTGTGAATATGTACAGTAGGTCATCAGCAGGTTGTTGTTCGGAGAATGGCTCTGGATTAGGACTGATATTTGGTGACTGAATGGCCAAATACTTTTATACACAGACATACTGTAGCACTGCCAGTGTGATGCAAGTCTGGAATTAAGAATGAATGCCCAACTCTCTCAGTATGTGTCATATGACTGATGCAAGCAACACACACAGAAGCAAAAGATGAGGCAGGGAAGATATATGACTGCTGACATGAAAGAAATATAATTTTTTTTTTTATGTGAGTCATTCACATTTGTGTATTGAAATTGTAACCAACTAAATAATTACTATTGATATGATCTACAATGAAAGCATTTCATTTGCACAGCCATGTGATGACTTGTATTTCTAAAAGCCCTATATAAGATTTTCTAATATTATACATTCCCCTCTTTCTTGCTTCTCTTTTTTTTCCATTATATTAATGTTTTTTTTTTTTGTACTAGGGACTGAGGGAAGGGCAGATGGTATTTTTATATGTGATTTATGTGATTCTGCCACAATAACCTGCCCTTGCTATAGCTAAAACCCTGCTGACTCCTGTTGGTGCTCTTTCTCTTTTAACCTCTCTCTCTCCCTCTCTTTTAACCTTTATTTATCAAGGATCTAACTATCTACCATTGTTATACTATTGTCTGTGTGACTGTGTATATGCATATAATTCACAATTGTAGGTGTTTGTACACGGGGGTTTTATTGGGCATTGAATGTGTCATTTTTGTGTTAAAAACAGAATCTTTCTGTACAATCTGCCTTTTTCAGAACCAAGTGTGTATGTAGACTTTCACACTTTACATTTGACAGTGTGTGTAACTGTCACTGATGCACAGTGTGTTTCCCATTGCGCTGTGCATGCTCACAGAGAGGCTGTTACCCATTTGAACTGAGTGACACTGCAGTATAAAAGGAAGCCTGAGATCAGGGTGGATCACTGAGACTCCTGGTGGTCAGATTGGTTACAGCAGGCAGGTTTCTTCACTAATACAACATGTAGCCACCCAGAGAGACGTACAGACAGAGTGACAATCAGACAGGTCCACCGCTGAGATAAAGCAGTTGCCTGCCTAGCACTGCTCGCTCTCCTCTCATCAGGGGGTTCACTTTGTCAGAACTGTGTTCTGCTGCTGCTGAGGGTTTAGAAGTTATTTTGGACGATCCAGTAACTAGACAAGTGATGTTCTGCACAGCTGGAGAAAATGAGCATCTGTTGCACTGCTCACAGGAGCATGAGACCTAACGATACAGCGTGTTTCCTTTTCTCATTCCTTTTAGATTTCCATTCTGGATACATTTAAAAAAATGCATTGCATACTTGGGAATTTGATGGTGTTCAGCAACATTATATTTGCTCAGACAGAGCAAATTCTGACAATTCTGAAAGGTTGTGAGATACTTTTATATTAATTGTTGTGGCCAAACCCACAAAGATCATGGATGAGAGAAGAACATAGATGGCCAAAGATGATTTTTGCATGAATCTACAAAAATTTTGTGAGACCAGTTGTGCACAGATTTATTTCATTTATTGATTTTGGAAGATAAAAACTCATTAAGGTGCCCTTAGAGATGTGGTATCTCTTTTCACTTAATGTGCGCTGTGATTATAATAACAGGATTATTAAACCGTTACTTAACCTTTAAGTACTTGTAATCCTCTGTTTAATGAAAAGTTAAATGGTTGATTACTATATGTTATTAATATTTTAATAGGATTTGTCAGTAACTTGTTTCCTGTGTTTCTTCTAATTCTAAATCTCTCTGTTTTCACCCTAAGAATGGTCTTAATGGGTTACACCTTGCCTCTAAAGAAGGTCATGTCAAAATGGTCCTGGAGCTACTACACGCAGGCATTGAGCTGGAAGCAACCACCAAGGTACCTTGTTCGCTCTTTATGCATCCTTGTATGTCTTTCATACTGAACTGAAATGAATAAACTACTTAAACTCTCACACCTTCCAAACACTCCTCTTGGCCTCAGTTAAGCTAATTCAGTTGAATTGCAGCTACACAAACCACTGTAGCAGTAGCAATCTTGAGCTAAACTAGTAAACCAGTAGTAGGAATAGCAACCACACAAAACGTAAACAGATAACTGATGAGCATCTCGCCAGCTAAAAGTCATACCTGTGAAAAGATGTACTAGCTTTAGCTAACTGTATCTGAACTGACCAACATCTGAGTTCATGTTAATGCCACCTGAACTGGATGATCTGAATTTTTAGCAAAGCTGCATAGTGACACATACTTCAGTTTAATTTCTTTTCTCACCACAGGAACTACTCTGTGTATATCATATTGTTTCTGAAAAGGTTTGATGAACAAGTTAAAGCAATTATCCAGTTTTCCTACAAAACGTTTAATGTACAAAATATGTATAATTTACAAATTCCAATATGCATATGCACATACATGCAATGTAAAGCCAGTGGGTACCTGGCTTGCAGCTTTTTTTTACATCTGTATTTTCAGACATATTAACAATACTTGTATTAGTTTTGTTGTCGTGATTATAATGCTGCGACAGTATGTTTTGCTTCTGCTGGGAACTGAATGAGATAAACGCCCAAAAAGCAATTATTAGCAAAACTGTGCCTTCATTACCATCATCATATTTATTATTTTATACTTTGGGGGAATACAAAACACTACAGTCGATGTAGGTTACACTTATTTTCCTCTCATTCACTCTAATTTTTTTTTTTTCTGTTTTTTTTTGTGTGTGTGTGTGTGTGTGTGTGTGTGTGTGTGTGTGTGTGTGTGTGACTCCCAGAAAGGGAACACTGGTCTCCATATCGCAGCACTGGCAGGGCAGGAGAAAGTGGTGGCTGAGCTTGTCAACTATGGTGCCAACATTAATGCCCAGTCACATGTGAGTCACCACGGGATGTGAGCAAGAGAATGATTCATGAGCAACTGTGCCTAGTCTGTGTGTGTGCATGTATTTGTGTATTTCTGTACTTACATGACACAGTTGCTGACGTGTTGTTGGTTTTCCATGTATTTAATTACAGTATCTGTTAGGATGAGTACGTATGTGTACAGAAAGCATGTATGTCCTAGAGATAAACACCTGTCTGTCTATCTATCTATCTATCTATCTATTTATTTATTTCACTGGTCAGCTGAGTCTCATAATACATTGATGTGTGGGTCTTGTAACAGGAATTGAGGCCTATATTACTGTTTTTGTGTATGTAACTGCACTGTATTTGTGTCCTGACAGAAAGGGTTTAGTCCTCTCTACATGGCAGCGCAGGAGAACCACTTAGAGGTGGTCAAGTTCCTACTTGAGAACGGTGCCAATCAGAGTCTCCCGACCGAGGTATGTGTCCGTTCAAGCTACTTCTTTGTCAAGTCATTTTGTCTATTACTGAGCCCTAACATCCTGTTTATCTGAAACAGTCAAATTATTGAGACAGCTATAATTTTGGACTAACATTTTTCTGAGCTGCATGAAGCCCATTTCTAAATTTGTGTGCCTTTTGTTTATGTTTCAAACATATTTTTTCCATTTTGTTTGACAATGTTTACAGTAATAATGCATTCTTCTTTTAAATAAAAGCGCATGTTAGTCATTTTTCATGCCAGGAAAAAGAGTAATTAGGCAATTTGATATGGCATCTGTCATTGTATGGTCTCAAAGTCACTTTCTCCTTTTACCTGCCTGCTCTTCCCTCCTTTTAACCCCCAAATGTTCTAATTTACCTCTTCCAAATTTTCTCTGAATGTCTTTCTCCCTCCCCAGGATGGCTTCACTCCCCTGGCAGTAGCCCTCCAGCAGGGCCATGAAAATGTTGTGGCACTGCTCATTAACTATGGCACCAAGGGCAAGGTCCGCCTCCCCGCACTGCACATCGCCGCACGAAACGACGATACACGGACTGCTGCTGTTCTCCTGCAGAATGACCCCAACCCTGATGTACTCAGCAAGGTATACGCTCACTGAGATTGTGTGTAATAGACTACCAGGAAAATGTTTGGGCTTTTGTCTGATTGTTCTGTGCTTCTGTCTCCAGCTGTTTTTAGTCTCCCTTGTGCACTTTGTAACCTTGTTTTTAATAGTATTATAAATAGATTGTAATTATCTGTTTTTCTGCTCTTATTCTCCTACTCTCCAACTGTGTGTCTTTCTCTGTAGACTGGCTTCACACCTCTCCATATTGCAGCCCACTATGAGAACATGAGTGTAGCCCAGCTGCTGCTGAACAGAGGAGCCAATGTAAACTTTACCCCCAAGGTCAGTTTATCTTTGTTGCAAGATCAAAAATGGCAACCCAAAGGAATGAATGTGGTCCAAATATTGTGTGTGGAGAGAACAATAATATGAAGGAGAGTACAGAAGTATTAATAGTAATATTTCCCTATACTTTTAGTTTTTAATGAAGCAGCTTTCATTACACTTTTTGTCTTGTGACATTTTTAAGGAATCTGAAAACCTGAAACAAATGGTGATGGATGTTACAACTGAATAATTTCTGACTCCTGCTTTTCTAGAATGGCATCACGCCCCTTCATATAGCTTCCAGGAGGGGTAACGTGATGATGGTCAGACTACTGCTGGACAGAGGGGCACAGATTGATGCCAAAACTAAGGTACTGTAGTGTATGGCAGTTTGTTCAATGTCATTCCAATATCTGTTTCCCCCCCTTCTGCTGTCCTGCCTGCTGATGTGCTCAGTCTCTCATGTTGTGTAGCAACTCTTCAGGTACTTTATTCAGTCTTCTCTTTTTTATAACTCATCATTTTGCAGGATGAACTGACTCCTCTCCACTGTGCAGCTAGGAATGGTCATGTTCGAATTATTGAGATCCTGCTGGAACACGGTTCTCCCATCCAGGCCAAAACTAAGGTGGTGAATTGAATAATATTAAAGTTCCACAGTTCCAAAATCAGCACTGATCATCATGATCTCCTGTTAAGCATTGACTCTCAAGTTTTTGATATAATCTAACTACTGAAAGAATGTAATGTAACCGATGCTGTTCCCAAGGCTTGCTAAAAATGTATACAACATTGATCTGGTTACTGAGCATTTTAGATCTGAGCCTCATCCGTCACCATAAATGTGCATACTTAGCAGATATTTATTGCAACAAGATACCTTGCCTTATCTGAAAGTAATTTTATCTTAGTGCAGTGATTATATCCCTTCTAAGGAGTCTTCTTTCCTGAACATCAATAACTGAATCCTATTGACTGTGTGCAGAATGGTACATGCACAGGATGATTTTGGCATCATCTATCTTCATCTCATCTTCACATTCTCTTTTTACATTTTTTTCTCCATCTTAATTTCTGTCCTCTGTTGGTGCATCGTTCTTCTTGTCCTACAGAATGGTCTGTCCCCCATTCACATGGCAGCTCAGGGGGATCACATGGACTGCGTCAGGCAGCTACTACAGTACAACGCGGAGATTGATGATATTACGCTGGACCATTTAACCCCTCTTCATGTAGCGGCCCACTGTGGTCACCATCGCATGGCCAAAGTCTTGCTGGACAAGGGGGCCAAGGCCAATGCACGTGCTCTGGTGAATATAACCCAGGGCTCACATATTTACGGGATTATCAGTCTGTCTAGTGAAATAATTCAAATAGTGAAATGAATAGGCCACTGTAAAAACAATAAAAGCCTGAATTTAAACAATCAGAATGCAGTGACAGTATTTTGTATAAAACAGAAAACTTACAACCTTTCTTGAACACTCTTTAGCTCAAAAGGTGTCTGGCTTGTACACATATGTAGTCTAGTTGTGAATTATGCCCTCTGTGTTTGTAGAATGGCTTCACACCTCTCCATATTGCTTGCAAGAAGAACCACATGCGGTCTATGGACCTGCTGCTTAAGCACTCTGCTTCCTTAGAAGCTGTCACAGAGGTGAGATGAAAATTAATCGTCTGAAAATTAACAAACATCCAATCTTCTTGTTTAAAATGTTTTCATCCAAGTGGCATTCTTGTTCTTTGTTTTTTGTAACAAGCATTAATCACAGCCTTCTACTGTACATGTATGTTAAGCTCAAGCAATGTCAGGATAGGACATACATAGGTTATGGTTTTGAAATGACAAGGGAACCACTACATTTTTAAAAGCTCATATCCTATCAGTGTCATCTGTCTTAAAGTTTTACTACTTGCTACACTGACATTAGCGCAGTCACATTTGGCTAATGATCTAGAATATCACTTGACCTCTCTTGATATTAAGCCCTGGTGATCTGTTTTCTGTCTGTCTTTGCGTGTTTAGTCTGGTCTTACTCCTCTTCATGTAGCAGCATTCATGGGCCATCTGAACATAGTGAAGAACCTGCTCCAGAGAGGGGCTTCACCTAATGCTTCCAATGTGGTAAGAATATTTTAACTTGTTCAAAAAGTTCTAATACTGATAATAAATCATTATTAAAATAACTGATGATGATCAGTGATTTACCTCCATGACTTGGGATATTCCGGTATAATAGCAAATTGAACCTCTCAGTGTTTAAAAAAGCATCTGTATACTGTACAAAAATACACTCACATATACAAGTGGCATAAGTGCACACGAGTGTGTGTTTATCTACACCAGAAAGTGGAGACTCCGCTCCACATGGCCTCCAGAGCAGGACATTGTGAAGTTGCTCAGTTCCTGCTGCAGAATACAGCACAAGTAGACGCCAGGGCTAAGGTATGAGTTGTGTCAGTCATCATATTCCTAAGCACAATGTGTTTTTCTACTGCATGTTTGTATCTGCCTAAGAAAGTTTCCGCTGCTTTACATGCGGGCATGAAGTACATAATAAGCATCAGTGGCTGGCAAATAGTGTTATTTCATCACCCACTGCATAATAATACCAGTTTTCCTGTTTAAAACATACATTGTCCTCCTTCTGCTTGTTGTCTGTGCCCAGGACGACCAGACACCCCTACACTGTGCAGCCCGCATGGGCCACAAAGAGCTTGTCAAGTTGCTCCTTGAGCACAAGGCCAATCCTGACTCAGCTACAACTGCAGGCCACACACCCTTACACATCGCTGGACGTGAAGGGCATGTCCAAACCGTTCGAATCCTGCTGGATGCTGGTGCACAGCAAATCAAGATGACAAAGGTAGAGTAGAAACCACAGCAAAAGAGGGAGTGCTCAGTTAGTGCCACAGTTTTTAAGTCTTAACTGGTCTACGTCTAGCAAAGACTTGTAATGGCTAATAGGGGACCTTCTTTATGTTTGGAAGCTTCCCACTGTGTCAGTGTTACGTTAACGCCACGTGTTTAAGGCTTTATTGTTTTACGCGTTGTTCCTCCTTATCTTTATTCTTATTCTGTATCTTTGTCATTAAGTTTTACTGCTGTTATATATTAGTACAGGCACTCATACCCTATAATATGATAAACACCTTGTTTTTTTCTTTTGAGCAGAAAGGCTTCACTCCTCTCCATGTGGCCTCTAAATATGGAAAAGTAGATGTGGCAGAACTCCTACTGGAGCGAGGAGCCAACCCCAATGCAGCCGGGAAGGTGAGACAATCTGTGCTCCCTATAATTCAGGTCTGTAAAGAGCATGCAAGCAACAAAACAAAACCGTGAAGAGCAAATCATCCTTAAAGCTTCACGTCACAGATATCAGCTAACTGAGCTATGTGGTTCATATATATGTGTGTTTCTGTGTATTTTTGTGTATGTGTGTGCGTCTGTGGGTTTATATTTGTGTACATGTGCATGTATGTGTGTTTAACAGAACGGTCTGACACCCCTTCATGTGGCTGTCCATCACAACAACCTGGATGTTGTTAAACTCCTGGTCAGCAAGGGAGGATCTGCACACAGCACTGCTCGAGTAAGACGCTCACATACGTGTGTGCACATGCTCACACGGGCAGGCCAACAGAGCGTGTCGACCCATCACTTAAACAGTCAAATGAGAACAGGTCAAATGAGTGTGTGATACTTAAACATACAGT